AAGACAGAAAGCAAGAAATCACCCCCCAGGGGGGGTGGCCACGCCGCAATCCCTTCTCCTCCATTCTCTCGGGATCTTGGGCACGCACACTCACACGCACCTGGCATGGGTTTAAGCCACCGGGTCTGGGACTCAAACTGCAGTTAACCATATGCGAGTCCAGCAACATAGCCATTACGTCAACTGCTGGTCCCTTCTCATCTTTTAAAAAAAAAAAAGTTTATTTAAAAAAATTTCTCCTGGGGACCAGCAGGTGGCATGGTGGTTAAGGTGCTAGACAGTCCCACATGGCTGACCAGGTTTGAGTCCTGAATCTGGTAGCTTCCTTTCTCACTTCCCCTCTTTCTCTCTCTCTCTCTGTCTCTCTCTGTCAGATTAAAAAATAAATGAATGAATAAATAAAATTAAAAAAATATTTCTCCTAACCATGAGGGCCAGCAGGTAGCATAGTGGTTAAGGTGCTGGATCCCACATGGCCGACAGTGTAGTTCGAGTACGGACCCAGTGGTTTGAGGAACATACAGGGAACACGTGCACATGTGCCCAAAATCCCAAGAGGAGAGTGGAGAAGGGATTGCAGCGTGGCCATCGCCGTGGGAGATATTTTCTCACATTTCCTCTCTGTCTACCTGATGAGTACATGCACCCTCTATAAAAACTTTAACCCTGGGGGCAAGCCAGTGGCATTTTGGTTAAAGTAGCTGGCTATTTTAACCAGCTATGTGGCTGAGTTCCAGACCAGAGGCTTGGAAAACTGGGCATGTGTGAGTGCAAGCCTACCTAAGAGGAGGGAGGAATGGAGAAGGGATTATGGCATGGCCTTCCCGTTGGGGGGTGACTTCTCACTTTCCCTCTCTCTCTCGCAAGCATACACACCCTATAGCAAAAACATTTTTAAAAATAATAAAAAGTTTTTAAAAATCTAAGAATTCCTAGCAATGTGTTTACTGGATCAAGAATGCACACATTTTAGGGACCAGCCAATGGTTACGTCACTGGACTCCCACGTAGTCAAGCTCGATTTGAATCCCGGTCCCGGTGGCTTGGAACTCATGCCAGGTGCGTGTGTGCATGCCCAAAATCCCAAGAGGAGAATGGAGAAGGGATTGTGATGTGGCCGTCCTCCTGAGGGGTGATTTCTTACTGTCTGTCTCTGTGACAATGCACATGCCCTTATAGCAAAAACCTCTCTCTTTTTTTAAAAAAAGTTATTTATTTATCCATTCATTTTATTTTTTAATTTGACCAGAGTTAGACACACACAGAGAGAGAGAGGGAAAGTGAGAAAGCAAGCCACCAGGTCCAGGACTTGAACTGTGGTCGGCCATGTGGGAGTGTCCAGCGCCTTAACCACCACACCACCTGCTGGTCCCATAGCACAAATCTCTTAAAAAAAAAAAAAAAAAAGTACACACATTTTAATGTAGATGGCCCAGGTCCAGATGTAGTGGCACATGAGTGTAGTCTCAGCTCCTCAGGAGGCTGAGGTAAGAAGGTTATGAGTTCAGAGCCAGCGTAGGCAACATCGAGAGACAGTGTCTCTTAAATAAATAACACTGATTCATAAAAATAATGGGGGTGCCCCAGTTCCCAAGGAGACAGTTTCCAGCTTGATACTGAGGTGGTGTTTCTGACGTGCAGAGGCCAAGACAGAGGGCCTGTGGTGAGTGTCCACGAATGTCCTCGTATCTGCTATGTGGAGGCCAAAACGAGGCACCCACCAGACCATGCGGAGGTCAGTTGCCAGGAATCGGGCACCTCACGGGGGCTTCAAGAGGTGACTTCTGAGCTGCCCGGGGAGGCTGAGGCTTCCCATGCGCGTGGCAAGTGAGTGTGCAGGTGTTCTTTCTGCCTCAGCAGCCTGGAGTCAGGACTAGAGGCAAATCAGAATAAGCCATCTGCTTCAATGCACTTGGGATAAAGCCAGCTCCTGCCTGGCCCAGGCCCTGTGCCCTCCTGCCCTCTCCCACCCCTGCCTCACTCTGCTCTGACAGTCCCCAACACTCCAGTCTCAGGGCTTGGTCTCTGCCTCCTGCCTCCCCTTACCCTACCAGGTCCCCTTGCGTGTCCCCTCCTCCGTGCTGCTGCCCTAGACCCTTCTCCTCCCAGTGTGGTTTGCATCAGAGGCTCCCCCTTCAGTGCTCACAGTCCCTCCCCCTCTCTTGCTCAGGCCATGATGGCGTATCCACCTGCGTGTGGATCCGTGCTCACAGCCCCCCCTCCCCGCACCCGGTGCAAGCCATGAAAGTGTGTCCACCTGCGTGTGGATCCGTGCTCACAGCCCCCCCTCCCCGCACCCGGTGCAAGCCATGAAAGTGTGTCCACCTGCGTGTGGATCTGTGCTCACAGCCCCCCCATTCCCCTCCCCGCACCCGGTGCAAGCCACGATGGCGTGTCCACCTGCATGTGGCTCTGTGCTTACAGCCTCCCACCCTGTGGAGAGCAGCTAATTTGCAAACATGTGATTAAAACATGTGGCCTGTAGACACATGCAGAAATGCGCTTCTGTAAGCTGCTCTAGCAGGGCTATGGAAGCATCTACATAGGAAAGCAGGACCTGCCTGTTGTTCCCACCCGGTCCTCACTTTTCTATACTTGTGTGTCTTTGTGTGTTTGTTATTGTGTCTATTTCTAATCCACAGTCTTCCCCACTCAGAGAAACGTGTACATGCCGAGCTGGGCCCGGCAGCACCCCATCCCCCGCACCTGCCCGCACTCAGCATAGGCCATGATGGCGTGTCCACCTGTGTGTAGATCTGTGCTCACAGCCCCCCCACGCCCCTCCCCATACTCGGTGCAAGCATGGAAGCATGTTCGCCTGCGCTCACAGCCTCCCCCCACCCTGCATTCAGCGCAGGCCATGATGGCATGTCGATGGCGCATCCGCCTGCATGTAGATCTGTGCTCACAGCCCCCCGCCCCTCCCCGTACTCGGTGCAAGCATGAAAGCGTGTTCGCCTGTGCTCACAACCTCCCCCCACCCTGCATTCGGCACAGGCCATGATGGTGTGTCCGCCTGTGTAGATCTGTGCTCACAGCCCCCCCCCGCCCCTCCCCATACTCGGTGCAAGCATGAAAGCGTGTTCGCCTGCACGTGGGCCTGCACTCACAGCCTCCCCCCAACTGCATTTGGTGCAGGCCGTGATGGCGTGTCACCTGTGTGCGGAGCTGGGCAACACTGGTCCCCGTCACTGGACTGGAAGTGCTGTGGCAGGCCTCATGGCTGGCAGGCTTACAAGTGCTCCTCCAGCTATAGCTGCAGTAGACCCTGGGCGACAGTCAAATGAACGGTGACCCGCCCACTGGAGGACAAAGCATGACAACCGCCCCTTCCTCCTTCCTAAGATTCCAGCAGCTGTCCCTGGGTGCCAGACACCATGCCCGGGGTGGGGACGGCAATGAGCAGGTCACTTGGTCTCCCCTTCATGTAGCTCCGGTCTGGGGGAGGGGTCAAGTGGTGGCTACAGGAGCGTCTGAGGGAGGGAGCCTGATTCTCCTTCCTGCCTCAGTTCCAGGAGGATGGGTTCCTGGTGCTGGAAGGATTCTTCTCTGCAGACGAGTGCACGGCCATGCAGCAGAGGATCGGCGAGATTGTGGCTGGGATGGATGTCCCTCCCCACCTCCGCACAGAGTTTTCCACCCAGGAAGAGGAGCAGCTTCGAGCCCAGGTGGGTTTCTGGGGCAGCTGAGGGCGGGGTCTGGTCTTGGGTGGAGGCCTCAGTCCCTAGCCAGAGCAGAGCCTTCATGGCAGGACCCTTGGGCTCCTCCTGATGACAACCAGGCCCTGAGCCCTCCGTGTAGCAGGTGCTGGGCTAAACACCTCGGGGCATCTCCCCTTCCCTCCTCACTCTGGACTTATAAGGTAGGCATTGTCCCCACCTGACAGGCGGAGAAGACAAGGCTCCAATCACTTGCTACAAACCGCATGGCAAGTGCTAGAGCCAGGATTTGAACTCGAATCTGCCCAGCACCGAGTGCATGGTGTTCACTCTTGCCTACACTGTCTCGGTAGTTCTCCCACCACGAGGCAGTGAATCTGATGGGTCTACCCATGTGAATCTTATCCCCAGAGAGACTAGGAGTTGTGTTTCCTCCTGGTGACCCAAGAGGACAATACAATTTGAGAGGGGTAAGTTGAAACTCAGCTCTCCCACTCACTTTTTTAAAAAGAATTATTAATTAATTAATTAATTAATTATTAAATTAGAATAGAGAGAGAGGGAAAGGGAAAGTGAAAAAGCAAGCCACCAGGTCCAGGACTTGAACTGCAGTCGACCGTATGGGAATCCAGCACCTTTAAGCATCATGCCACCTGCCAACCTGATTATTTATTTATTTATTTTAGAGATTTTTACTATTGGACGCATGTCCTCACAAGAGAGCTAAGAGAGACAGAGAGACAGAAAGTGAGAAATCACCCCCCAGGGGGATGGCCACACTGCAATCCCTTCTCTTCCCTTCTCCTTTCTGATATTTTGGGTACACATGCACACGCTCAGCATTAGTTTTAAACTGCCAGGCCTGAGACTCAAACCGCGGTCACCTATGTGGGCATCTAACAACGTAACCATTCCGCCATCTGCTGGTCCCTGGATTTTTAGCCTGTGTTGCAGGGTAGCCCGGCTCTGGTCCAGGCACACCCACACTAAAAACGAGGAGCTCCTGCCATCTTGTGGCCATAATGGGGATGACAACAGTCAGAAGGCTTGCATCCCAGGAAACAGGGAGAGAGATTCTGAGAAGGAAAACTGAGTGTTCTCTAAATACCTGGTCGGTTTGACTGCATGCCTGCCTTCGAGGTGACAGAAGCAGAGATGGGTCCTGCAGCCAGAGCCTGTCAGGTCACTCAATGGTTCCCAGGAATGAGGGAGGCTGAATCTTGCACCCTCCACGCTGCCTTCTGAGAATGTTCAAGAGACCAAAGGGTTGGGGGGGAAATGTGAGAAGAACGTATGTATGTATCTTGGTTTATGATGTGCATAAAGAAAAGAGCTCACAGAGCCAGTAGGTGCCGTGGTGGTTAAGGTGCTGGACTCCCACATGGCAGACCATGGTTCAAGTCCTGGACAGGCGACTTGAGACTCATGCCGAGGAAAATTTAAAAAAAGAAAAAGCAAAGAGGGACCAGCAGTTGACATAATGGCTATGTTGCTGGACTCCCATGTAGTCAACTGAAATTCGAGTCTCAGACCTGGTAGCTTAAACTTACACTGGGCGCATGTGTGTGTGTGCCCAAGATCCGAGATGAGAATGGAAGAGAAGGGATTGTGGCATGGCCATCTCCCCTAGAGGGTGATTTCTCACTTTCTGTCTCTCTGTCTCTTTCTGTCTTTCTGGCGAGGGCAC